AAAGCACTTCTTCTGGTCATGCTGTTAATGTTTATAAACCCATTACAAAACAAAAGGTTCATATTAGTGTAAAATAAAGTCTTCGGTGCTCTGAAGCATCAAGAAATATTTCTTGAAGAAAATATTTATAGGTATGATTAAGCTGATGTTAAACCCAGCTTAAATAACTTAAAAATGTCTTTAAACTGAAAATCATAATTTTAAAGTTACTTTAGTCAGATTTTACTTTGTCGTGAACTTTAATGATTGATAGTCATTTGTTCCTAAGCAAATCCTTGTTTTCCGGTATATTCCAAAATCTGGCGCCATGTACTGCTGAATCATAGGTGAGGTCATGGAACATGGAAACAGCAAGAAGCTAGTCATAATGTCAGCTCTTCTGAGGAAGTCTTCAGAGCTCTGAATGAATTCCAAGTCTTCCTGTAGAAGACTAAGAGCCTCATTCATTAACGCTTCCAGAATATGTGAGTACATTTGCACGTAAAAGCACTACATAGGAAATGCTGTAAGTCAGGGGTGCACAACTCCAGTCCTCCGGTCCTAGAGGTTTCTCTACTCAAACACACCCACTTAACCTGGCAATTCACAGATAAGTGTAATCAGGTGTGTTGGAGCAGGTAAATCACCAAACTGTGCAGGACACTGGCCCTCCAGGACCGGAGTTGTGCACCATTGCTTTAACTGGATTCAACATTTTGTATATTTTTATTTGTGTGTGTTGGCATTCATGTTGATAAATACCAGGCCATGCTAAAATCCATCCCTGTGCACCTGCAACCTGCAAATCCATGTCCAAGAATTACCATCCAAGGTAGATATTGACGTCATAGCAGTTGTTTTTGCCACAAAATCATTGTAAAATCACAGAACACTGTTAAATAGATTTGTACACTAAATTAACATGTAAGTTAATGCCTTAGTTAGGTTTAAATTTGTTGTAAAGAAGTCCTGATCTTGACAAATTGCTTTAAAATGTGCACCATAGTTTTTTTAATTATTTATTTTCCAAGTGTGAGTAAGTTAACACATCCTCTTCAGAGAACACACTTCTGTGTATTTTAATGCAAAAACCTACTGTTTATTTGCTAAATTCAACATATTTGGGGAAAAAATCAAATAAATAAAGCATGGCCCGTGCAAAGCTATGGCACGTTATATTTTATGTTGTTCTTTTTTTTGCCAGCTTTGAACTAAATGTATAGCGTTATCACTAAATGATGCACAAAATATTTAAGTTTGTTTTCTGTAGAGGATGTATTTTTTTTTTTTCACTTAGAAAATTGACAAAACATTGAATGTGACACTTTTGCTTATAAATATATGTGCTTAAGGAGGCATGCTGCTCACAGAAGTGTAATAACACACTCACATTTTACATCCATTTTAGAATAGTTCCACACTGCAGACATTTATTAACTTCTAAAAAATGTCCCTCCTTGCCACAGGTTTGGATAATCTGTTTATGGCAGCTCTACGACAGTAGTGTAATTGAGTGTGTGAAAGAAGGAAGGGATTAATACATTGATACCTGAACAAGTCAGTTACGCCTGGATCCTGATCCTTTGGATCTAATCTGTACATTGCTAGGTTCTTGTGTTAGTGTTGTAACAGAGAAAGACTGATGAGATTAAATCAAGTCTGAATCTTGTGCCACACACAAACTGTTGTACAAAATACAATGAAAATCATTTTGCTATGACGTTGGACACACTGTGGACTTGCACAGTTGCAGGGTACTGTCCACAAAACCTGTCCACATTGCAGATATTTCTAGAAACTAGAATCCTAAAGGTAAAATGTGGCTATGCAAATGCCTGTTCCACAACCCCATAACCAAATATTATCTTTAGCTACTCTAAAACAAACCTGTGGTTAAAGAGATGGTTTGGCCAAAATCTAATTTACACAATGTATTTTTTACCCTGTATGTTGTCAGTTGGCCAAGATGTGTATTTCTTTCCAAAGATGGCTTCTTTAGTTTACATTAGATTACATTAATGTATCTAACAGGCTATATAAACATAGAGCCACCAGTTTAGCATCTTGCATTAAAGCATGTAATTTCAAATAAACTTCCACACAACTAAAGAAGCAAATATGATGAACAGTTAGAGCAGCGGTTCTAAATCCCACTCCTGGCAACCCTATGCTCTGCATATTTATGTGTTTTTCTACTATACACACCTGACCCAGTGCTTCAGGAGGTTGTTAATTAGATAATGAGTTGAATTAAGCTTGCTAGATGAGACAAAAATGTGCTTATGGTGAAGCTACCAGGAATTGGGTTGGGAACTTCTAGGTCAGGGTAGGGGTAAAATTGTGCAAATTTGGCCAAACCATCTCTTTTAACTCTCAGAAAGCTGGACCCCAAAACCTTAATTGTTAAGGGGCTTTAATGCAGCACTCTTTAGGCAAATTCTTCAGCGCTCTGTCTTGTTTTCTCTGTTTCTCTCTCTCTCTCTCTCTCTCTTTCTCTCTGTCTCTGTGTATATAACGATCATAAGACTCGGTCTTACTCAGCTGCCTGTTTTTCAGGGGCTTCAAACGCTTGGCAGGCTACACCGCATGGCAGTGAGTGTGCAGTTTGACATACCCCACAAGAGAAATGTTTACCCTCCAGAGGCCCAAGCTTGGAACATATTGTCCTGATTAAGGTGCCATAGGATTTTGTTTAGTTTGTGTTATAATTCTGTGCATTGCAGGAGGCTAATTCTGCTTTCACAAATAAGGAGGAAAGTGAAAAGACTGCAGCTTATTTAGGGGCTGATTGCCGTCCGTATGTTGAGTCTGTCTCTTGGGTAGACATGTGTTTACTTAGTTCTTCTTGCAAGAGAGCCAGTGTTTTATACTGTTCTGCTTGATTTCTTTTTTTTTCTTTGGCTGCATGAGTCTAAATATAACTTTGTGAGCTGGAAATATTACTGAATGAAGTCCATGTGTGGGAGGATTGCTTCAGAGGGCTGAGGGATGTCAGCCACTGCTGACTCACACATCTGTCTGGCCTCTGCTTTGAATCTGGAGTGATGTTCGGTGATCTCTCTGGCTGAGTGCACTTCAGGACTGGTTCAGAATGTCAGAGATAGTTACAGTTTGCACTGGGGCAGATGCCTAATGGTAAAATTGAATCAAGATGTTTTTGTGATGTTGTTAAGCTGCATCTCTTGGTCTCATTTTGATCAATTACATATTCACAATGTTGTTCAGGCCTAGCTTTTCAGACACATGACTCCAGTCCCAGAACCACACTTTTCTGTAAGAGGATCCTAAAAATCTGTAAAGTGCATTTGAATACTTATGACGAAGTGCTCACTTTTTCATACAAATTTACAACACCACAGTCTTTCACAGACCCGTCCTATTATGTAATGCCAGTTCTGTCTAAGCTGCCAAGCTCTAAGAGCACAGCCACTTGTGCATGTCTTCATTAAGAAGCACCTCACCTTTCCTCTCTGTCCTCAGAAAGACCCATTTCATTATGGCCCAGCTGCTACAGAATACACTGCCAGCCTTCAAGCCCTGCCTTTGCTCATATCATAAAGGCTGTGCTAATGGAAAATTTATACCATGTTTTGGAATATAAATCAAGCTAACCGATACTGCTCCTAGGGATCCTCTTTGAAAGCTCTACTCTTAATTATTGAAATGAAGTTTCATGGTGTGTGCACCTTCCAGGCAACTTCCATATGTGAGAGATTTTGACTTGTGTCATCATCGCAGTTACCATTTAAATTGTGCCTGATACAGAACGTTATGCAAGACTAGATGAAAGAGAAAGGCCTAAGCATGTTGGTCTTCAGTGACAGCGCTGCATAGTGAAAGCCTTCTGCGCAGAATCTCTGATGTACACATTAGATGAAGTTGTTGTTCTGTACAGTCAAAAGAGTCAGATCAACTAGATATTGTTTCCAATCACATATAAACTTTTTTAAAATTAATGAAGCATATATTTAATTAAGTGCAGCATTAAAGGCTGATTTATAATTCTGTGAAGATGGATGGAAATGTATGTGTCAAGATATTGAGAAGGAGTTCATGGGTAGACATAGCTCACAAAGGCCATGACTTGCACACCTTCAAAATCTCAGCTGCACAGCACATGAATCTGTAGAGGAACACTGGCTATCTAGTAGCCTTGGGGGTGAGACAAGACCCTAGCAATACTCTTCAGAGCCAGTTGTACATCATTGTAAACAATTATATGACTGTGCTTCCTCGGTTTTCTGTTCATTCTGTTTTTTCACTGCCGTCTAGTAGTACATTCACATTACGTGCAAGTATGTTGGAACTATAATGCGCCCTGAAGTTTCTTAAGCTTTCTATACTTTGTTGCAGTCAAGTAGGTTCATTTACTACAAGAGTATCAAAAAATCTTAGACCGGCCCATAATGCAAAATGCAGCATTCTTTGCTATGAAGTAATTTTGTTTTTATTTATTCATTATATTTTTGTGAAACTTCTAATTAGGCTTCTAATGTAACATGAGAAAAATGACCTCTCTCTCTTACTCTTAATGAGGTCTTTATAAGAAACACCTGCCTTGTAGGTCCACTTTGCTGGTGTACAGTTTGCCATGCATAATTTGTGTTAGCCATCATATAGCCCTTCATCAGTGATCAGTTTCTGACAACAGAACTGCTCTTGGCTGGATAGTTTTTGGTGGCAGACTGCTGTCAACCTGGTAATGACATGGATGTGTATGAAAACCCCAGAGACAAGCTTTGCTTGATAAACTGGCATCATATCAGTGCTGTGTTAAAAATGGTCGACCACTCAGTTAACACCTGGACAACCTATGCTCACTTCTCAGTGATGTTTTTGCGTATATGTGTAGTTGATCATGCTCAGCTGATATTGTGAAAGAAGCACTGTTATATATTAAAGGCTGTCATGTATTGCATGACCTGTAGACCCCTATATTTTTATTCATGTTGGTGTTGTAGAATAATTTTCTTTGCAAAGCAGAAATTTGAATTTTCTGTTTGTCTTTTTGTCTTTCTCAGATTGGCCTTTGGTGGCTACCAACATGCCAAAGCAGTCTCTGGAGAAAGTGCCACATTACGCAGCTTCACCTTCAGCCTTGCCATCATCTTCTTTCAAAGCCTCAGGACAGTCAAGCGACGTCCACAAAACATTCCCCCCTTTGCCTGACACTGAACCACTCAAAGCCTCAGAGAATTACTATAGTGCTACAGTTGACGCTGTGTTTGGCTCAACAGTCATGCCACCTCAGAGCTACCTTTCTAGCCCTGAGCATCTATCTGCCCCAGCACTAAGTTCCTTAGACTCAACTGAGGGAGACAGAACTAGTTCTGGAGTTTCTTCAAGACTGTCTCGGGAGGTGAAGCCTCCTGTCTTTCAAAATGTGCCCCCTTCTTCCGGAACTGTCGAACAGACTTCAGCCAGCTCATACACACCTGCTTTAAACATCTCTCCTTCTCAATTGCTTTCAACTGAATTGGATTCTTCTGAAGAGCCACCTTTTCCTCCTCCTGACCTACAAACTGAAGCTGTTATCAATAGTATTTCTGCCCTTGGACAAGTAGAGCCATCTACCAGAATCAGAGACTTTGATAATTTACATTTTAGTCATGACCTAAATATGCAAAATGATGCTAATGCAGGTGGTCACCTGTTAAATCCAAGTCATGCCCTTTTTGGAAACCAGTATGTGACCTCATCTTCTGCAGAGCCAACTATGGGCCCGCCAGAAGACTTTTTCCCAACCAACACTATGGATGTGGACTATGGTTCTGGGGATTACTTAGAAACTATGTCCTTCATGGGGTCTGAGGGAGACGGCTACTCTTTGGTCACCAATTCTCCCTCTGACATGTATGACTTTGAAGATCCAAACTCTGAGTCCTATGACACATCTTTTCCCACAAGAATAGTGATACCTTTGTCCACCAGACACCTATCTCCCATTCCTACTAGTGCTGTTTCCAGTATACATGTTACTGCTTTTCCCAATCAGACCTCCAGTATTAAGTACAATTCAACTAGTACCCCAAATGTAACTAACACCGTTCTCAACAGGCAAACGACCGCTTCCATAAATGTAGTGAGTCCTAGTTCCACTAATTTAACCAGTATTCCCAACATTTTGACCCATATACCCATTTACACCACCATCTATTCAGGCATCCCAACTGTCCAACCAAAAGCAGTCCATTCCTTGACTGTGCACCCCACTGTTTCTGCCTCCTTAAATCAGAGTGGCTTAGTCAAAGAGAGTTCAGAGTCAGATTCTGGTTGGCCTGACAGCATTACAGTTGAACCCACCGATGTTCTTCTGCCTGATATGAATAGTCTGGAGTACTACACCATTCAGCTCTCTAAGGGCAATGAAAGCTTGCCAGAGCGACGGGACAACCAGACCACTTCCAAGTATTTCTCTATTGTTCCAGGAAGTACTACTCATATAATGGCCACCAGCACCTATACAATGATGTATGGAGAAGAGCTACAACCTGTGGACAACAACTCCTGGCCCGAAGATTCTTCTACAGATATCTCGGGATTTGATCCGTTCAACACGACCATTCTGGATCTGTCCGAAGTGAGACCCAGTCTGACAAATACAACAGTGCCATTCTTGGATTCATCAGTGACATTAACTCCATCCATGGACTTTTCAACTTCACTGTGGAATCTGACTGCAACTCCTGACTGGATTAGCACTGAATTAGTGCCATCTGCTATAGCCACTAGCACCTCTTCGGTACTGTTTGAGTCACGTACAGTATCAGAAGAGCCAGATGTAACGGCATCAAATACCACAGACATCCACTGGTTTGTCAGTTCCACATTGCCAGAGGCTCTTCAGCCTACCCCTACACTTATCAGTGATGTATTAACCCACACTCTGAATGTGACTGCATTGCCCACTCAGCCAGACTTCAGTAGCACCTCCAACTTTCCTGTGACAGAGATGGCTGACCAAGGCATCACAGGACCTCCATCAGAAAGCCCTTTTACTGAGGTTATTGATGATGGAATGACAACATTTACCAACACTGAAACCCTGTCCACTTCAGTATCCGACAGTGACACAACTGTGACAACCCCATTAACTATCATGACATTTACAAGCCCCATGGATGAGGCATTTAACACGACTACCTTGCCCACGACAGCTAAAGACCCTTCAGCGACAACCCTAAAGGCCACTCCTCAGACCACTACTGTCCGGGAGTACCTCTGCAACATCACCAAGCCTGACACCTACTTAGTTCGAGTTGGTAAGAGGTTTTTTTTTTTTTCTTCACAGCTGCTTTCTTGAAAACAGGCTTAACTGGTAAATGATGAGGTCCGGGAACACTGAGTAGTGATGGATCCAGCAGGTTAACGGGCCAGGGGGAACAAAATTTGGGGCATCAATACACGCAGCTCAGCGTGAGGTTTCCCCATAATTTTGGATCTAACGACTAACAGCTGTGTTAATGATGTTTCTAACCCTCAAATGTTCTCCCATACACGGGTTTCCCAAAACTAAACAAACAGTTTCTAGTGCACCAGTGGTTAATAAATTGATGTCACAAGCCAGTGGTTTCGCCACTAAGCTGAGCAAAGAGATGAATAATCACAGCAGTAGTGGGCGCATTTGCAGGTGATAAACACCACCAGTGTTGTTTATATAACAATTTCTGTCGCCATGTGCGCCCAAACAGGAGTTGAGAATGAAAGCGACTGCATGCCATGGCACGAGGTGACTCAGTGTGCTACTTTTTAGCAGGGCTGAAGGATTTAAGGGAAAATATCTAGTTTTGATTTTTCTAACCAATACTGTGACGATGACTTAAATTGCAATTATTTCTATAAACTCAACTTTAAAAATGACAGCTTTTTTTATGTTCGTAGAAGTATGTTCAAAATAGAACAGTACAAATATATTTGATATATGTGGGTGTTTTTATTTTATTTTTTGGACTCATCTATTAAAGCTAACCATTGTCACCATTCACTTTGTTCGTTTGTTTATCTGGGCTTTCGTAAGCAAGAAATCTGATGATGTAACTTGTTATAACAAACATTGTTGATAATGCAGGCCATATAGTTTTGTGATCTGAAAAATATTTCAAATAGAAAATAAGGGAGGATAACAATTGTTAATCATTCAGCCCTACTTTTTTTGTTTACTTTTTCACATTTAATGTTATGTATATCAAACAGGTTGCAGAAAATATTATGTTGAATTTTCTTAAAGCTGACTGTTGACTGTGAATTCTTAAGCAAATGACACTGCTAATGACACACTGCATTCACTTAAGACAGCAAGATGGTTAGAGTAAACAGAATAAGCGAAATTAAATGTTTTGAAATGTTTTCTGCTCTTCTTGGAGTGAAGGCAGTGCGTATATTGAGTAGCCACTCCCATCTCTGTCATTTGTACTGAGATTTCTTATCCTGTGTGAATTGGTCATAAACATTAAAGACGTCCAGCGGTAAACTGGCATTACCTCACTACTCCTTTTAAAATAAATCCCATCTGAAGAGTACTTAAGACTTGCTTTTTGGGAAAGAAGATGTTGTTCGAGAATAGAGAGAGAGCACTCACAGAGTGATGTCTTTCCCAACTCCCCACAGGTTTTCCACCTGGCTCCACAGCTGGCTATGCGAAAGCCAAAGTCAGAGAGATCCTCAAAGCTGAATTCAATCGATCAGTTGAACTGCAGGTATGTCACAGATTTGTGGATGAATGACTGTGTTCTCCTTAAAAATGTGTTGTGAGTGGTCTTTGATTGAAATCTGCATATTTATCTTTATAGGCCTAGTTAGGCACTTGTTTGTTTAGGTTAAATGAAAATGTATTTTTATTCATCATGATTGCATGACCTTTGTAAACTTTCATGACAGACGCTGGTGAACTGTTGCATAATGGCTGTGCTCCAGCTTCATGTCATGTTTCAGAAGTGAGTCCGGAAAAACACAGCTCTTCCTGTCTCACTTTATCTGTTGATTTCATATAAGCAAACAGCAGAGAGATGGGCTTTGTGGCTAGCTTGAAGGGACTGAATTCCTTCCCGTATTATGAACACATAGATTAGAGAGCTTCTGATACTCACTTTGTCGCAACCAATTTGAAAGCAGCTCTCTCCCAGAACTATCTTAGATGTTTTTTGCCTCCACCCATCTCAGCAAACTCTCAAGGTGAAATCATTGGTTGAAATATAGCTGTATGTTCAGTAATGTGCAAAAGTCAGGGAGCACCCTTCATGTCTTTAATTTCCTGTCAAAACAGCCAATAGGTTCTTCATTTTCAGAAGGTAGTTTTCCAAGGAGATTAGATATAAGAAAAGAGGAATAGAGATGTCAAGGGAAAATAAATGAAAAAACAGAAGCCGTCAAAACTGGCCTCTTAACCTTTTAATAACCATGCAAGACATGACAGATCATCAAAACTCTATCAGATGACCAAAAGAAAATCAAGCTCCACTTTTGCATCACACCTGAAAAAATCCACCGTTTTTTTTTGTCCATCCTTCCACTGTGAGAGGACAACTTAACACTATGAGTCTGAAAGAATGTGTAGCTGTAAAGAAGTCATTGATGACAAAAAGAAATATAAAAAATAAAGGTGCTGATCTTCTCAGAACAGTGGACTGACCACCCCAGAGACCAGACCGCAACATAACTGATAGTGTTTGCATTATTTGGATCATGAGAAGCAGAAAATTCAACCATCTAAGACTGAACTGCAGATTTCTTTGAAAAACTGAAAGCAGATCTACCAAAAAGACTGGATGCTATAATAAAGGTGAATTGTGGACACACTAAATACCAAAACATTTGATATTAAATTTAGTTGTCAGGGTTTCTGTGTATTTTTCTGCTTTATGCCTTGATGCAGGAAAATGAAAAAACTTGTACTTAATGGTCACTTTGACTGGAGATTAAAGGGTTGAATGAAGGGTTGTCTCTGACTTTTGCACTGTACTGTGTGTTAATGTATGTGTCATTAATGATTATATTGCAAATACACTTGCCTTGACTTTTAATCTTATTTGCTTCGCTGTGTATGTGTGTGTTCATGTAGGTAGTGAAAGCTCCTCCAGACTTTGTGTTTCGGGCTGTGTCTGGTCCTGTTGTCTACACAGCTATATCAGTCATGAACGCTCTGAGACAGTCCACACGTACGTCTCGCTCCATCCTCAGTGTGTCCCCCATCAGTCCTGTGCCAGGCCTACAGTACCACGTCCACTCTGGTAGAGCCACTCATATCACTCACACAACTCGTCACTGTATTTCAGTGCAGGAGTCTAATTACTATAATGCTGTTAATAACTATTGTGGCTGTATATCATGATGTAGAGCTATTTGAAATATGAAAACCATAGAGGTCACTTCATATTTAATTTCTTCTAATGAGTATTGTCCTTATGTTCTGTCTGTCTCTGCAGTGCTCCAGTTTGTCCCCAGTCACATAGATGTGCATGTGTGTACGTTCAGTGAGCACATAGAGAGAGGCCTGACTTTGGCCTTTGCTGAAGTGCGCCGGCGCTCAAAGGAGTCTACTAATTTCACTGTACATGTAAGAACCTCTTTTCATAATCACAATGTGGTGGTCAAAAATTGAATACACACAGTTTTTCTCTTACCCCAAATGTTGTAGATCAGCCAGGACATATTTGAGGTGCCAGCTTAAAGGCGATTTCCCAAATTTTTTCATAAATTTCCTCATCATTCAGTTCATTCAGATGCAAACAATTCATTCAGAGTGGTCTGAAGTGAGATACGTTGTACAGAAACTAGAGGTACTGAAAGGCTAAGAAACTGTCTATATATCTATATATTTTTTCATATTTTATATAGGCAAACAAGAAAAAATAAAAGTTTTTGTTTATTTTTTGTTTGTTTAGTTATTAAATATGTTTGTTGTGACAGCAGCATTACTGCCTCACACACTTAAAACACTACTGGGTTAAAATACTGGGTGTGAGAACAGTTCTCATATTTGATGCATTTTTAAAGGCTTGTAGTTCAGGATTAGTTTTTGTTTTTGACCTGTGCACGTGTTTTTATTTAATTAATCGTTTAGCCAAACCTTGAGCAAGGTTCAATATTACCGCAGAGAAGCCGTCATTTTGCTTCTAAAGGTTTGTGCCAGAAATTAATATGATGTCTCTATGGTGCTGGTGTATGAGGTATATTTGATCTGGTCTGTCATCACATCTCTTAACAATGTGTTTATCATGATTGTGATAGTGATAAAAATGTAATTTACCGTGCAGCCCTAAAAACAGTAAAGTGAAACAGTGTCTCCAGCATCATGTGAAGTAGCAATTAGAGGCATTAAATGCTTCAAACGTTTGGTTCCTGTCACCACCACTGCGAACAATTATGACTTAGTAGTTTGTCTAGGGCAACATTTCACATCAAATCACTCTGAACGATTTTGATTACATCATTTATTTATGCAGAAATTCAGAAAAATGAGTGGAATTTCTCTTTAAGCTTCTTTAGATGTGCTCTAGAGCTATGAGGCTGTTGTGGCTAATAAGTAATGGAATCTTATTGCTAAAAGGCAAACTGCTTGCCTAAACTGCTTGTATATTTGTACATATTCTGGAACCATTTTCTGTACATAAAGTAAATTTTCTTACACTATATGTTAAGAGAGACTCTGATGTCAGTGATGCATGCAGGATTATATATGTAATCTAAGCATTTTGTTATCTCTGTCTTAGCGTGGCCAGAAAGTAATCACATTATGTTTGCTGGAGCTGTGTTCACACGCTGGTCAGAATCACAGTCTGCAGTGCAAGCAGCTCACAGAGTGTTCACACAAGCTGTTCAGTGAGACCAGTGACTCGGCTCTGATCCCCTACAATCCTCTTAATTGCTTCCTATTTCTGTCAGATTTGTCCAACATGCTCTTTTATGATCACCAAACAAAAATACCTGAAGGGTTGGGAGTTTAGTTCAAGGTTCATGAGGGATTAAATTCCACTATTAATCTTTTCTTTTGTCTAATGGCCGGTTTGACTCAGATATTGGCCAGAGCTGTTGCTTTTAATATTGTCGGCATGCTTGCTGATCGAAGTGCTAAGCCGTATCTGTAGATTGCTTCCCATATACTGAAATGACATCACCCACAGCCGTTTGCTTTGAATGGGTTTAGAGAAAAGAACATGCACTGTTCAACCCAACAGTTGTCAAGGCAACAAAACTAATGAGTGAAATTCACTGCCTGAGGCTGAATGTGTTACACAGCCCTCAGTTTTAACACATGTTAAAGCAATTGAGCTACAGCCGACTTTAAACCACACACACCTCAGCCTCATTTGGGGTGACTGTCATTTTCAGAAATAAGCATGATTATTAAAAAAAAATATGTATGGCAAAATATGTTAAAGAAACCCTCTGTTGCACATTGTACATTCAGCTAATTTCATACATGACTGGAATATAATTGAAATTTAATTCATTAAATGTTTGCCAGGTAATTCTGAAGTCACAGTTTATTTTGTTTCCAGTCAAAACAGCCATTAAATGCAAGTTATTCATTTTTCAACATCAGAAAAAAGCAGAAAATATGTTTAAGAAAAAAATCACACAGAAACCACAACAACTAAATATGATATATTTTTCAGTATTTAGTGTTTCCACCCTTTACATTTCTTTATGGGAGACTTGGTTTCAGTTTTTTAAGGAAATCTGAAGTCTTAGACGTTGGTTACACTATCTGCTTCTCACAATTCAAGTAAATCCAAACACTTTCAGTGATGTAGATGTGTGCACTCTGGGGTGGTCAATCCGTTGTTCTGAGAACACCAGCAGCTTCTTTGTTTGATTTGCAAATTTTCTTCTTTTTTATCTTGTTCCTTTTCTCAGTAACAGTTTTTTTCATCTTTGAGAGATCTGAAAAAATTAAGCTCTATTCTTGCGCTTGGTTTTTTTTTCTATCTATCCTTCCACTGTGAGAATACAACTCACTGCTATGAGTCTGAAAGGATGTGTAGAAAAAAATCAAGCGCAAGAATAGAGCTTAATTTTCTCAGATCTCTCAAAGATGAAAACTTTAAGTGCTGTTTATCTGAAGGTCTTGCATGGTTATTAGGAGTCCCAATTTCTCTATATCTTTTAATCATTTTTTGAACTCCAGTTTTGGAAACTATTTTATGTTCATCTGCAAGTGGATTGTCTTATATCTTAATTCTTCAGAAATATCTCCTGAAAATGATTAACTTGTACTTAATTGCCATTTAAGTACCACTAATGTACTTAAATTTAAATAAATAGTAGGCAGTCTCTGACTCAGTAATGTAGACCTTCACGATGAAGTGAGTACAGAAAAAAAAGAAATGAGTTCAGAAAAAAGTACAGAAAAAAGAAATGTCATTTTGTGCAGAGGTGAATGTTATACAGTGCTTGTTTTTATTGATATGATCTAAATAAATGCATTGCAGATATTGAACATCACTATGAGCCCTATAGCTAAGAGCCAAAGACAGCCGAGTGGGCCGGTGGACATCACTTTTGTTGTGCGTGATGCTCGGGGGTACATACTGGGGTCAGAGGTCAGCAGCCTCCTGAGACAGCTCAATGTGGTGGAGTTCAGCTACTACCTGGGCTACCCTGTTCAGCAGATCGCAGAGCGTAAGTGTTTACTGACATGCACGTGCACCATCCTTCTACAGTCAGTGCAGCTGAGTGGATAAATGCAGTGGAAGGATCATTTTGACCCTGAAGATAATGGTGTATTTCTCTCATTAACAGCTTTCCACTATCCTGAGCTGAACACAACGCAGTTGCTGCGCTCCTCATGGGTGAGAACAGGTATGGCTGTGTTTCTTTATTTTTCTAAACTCTTATTCCTCCAGTAATAATGATGTTTAGGGATAATAAAAATTAATGCTCCTCTGAACGTTTTGTCTGAAGTACACACATCTGTTAGAATTGTGTTATAACACTGTATTCATTTAGCCTTCAAAGAGCGAGCTTTGGGTAAAAAAACTAAATTAATAAAGGTATTGTCTTTGCCATCTGTTACTTAATAAATCAATCAATCATCAATCAATCAATCAATCAGTTAATCCCCAAAAATCACCCATTGGCCATTTAGGCTGAAAAGGAATCGGAATTGGCCATGAAAATTTAGGATCAGTTACCACTAGTGTTGCTTTGTTTACTTGAGGAGTGTGCTGGTTGCTGTCCTAAATAATGACAGTTGGTTGTTTGTGTGTAGTGTTATTGGGGGTGATGGAGCAGCGTGTGAGTGATAGGATTTTCCAGGCAAAGATGGAGAGGAGACTGGCTCTGCTGCTGGGGGAAGGACTGGGCACAGGACGGCGTTTTAAAAGAGCCACCAGCATAGGCAACAACAGCGTGCAGGTAACATAACAGGAAGCAGTCCTCTGTCATGTAGCCCTCTGGTTTTTGTCCATATTGAAAAAGATAGCTTCACATTGTGGGTACATTTCATAAAGAATGGACTAATAGTAAACATCCAAAATTTCTGTGAATAAAATCCTGTTATATAAAACTTAAGAAGGTTTTTTTCCCTTCTCTTTTAATTTTTTGCCATTTCTGAGATTTTTCTTTTAGTTACAACAACGATGATATGCATGTGAGTCATTTGCCATATCTCCCTGCACCCTCTCTCTTGTGTGTGAGTAATAATGGAGACCCTCATTACGGAACTCTTCCTGCATGGATGTCCCCAGCCTCTCTGGCTTCTTAATGACTCTCTCTTTGTGGCCCCCTCTCAGCACCTGCTCTGCTCAGCGCATCCCCATTCCAAGAGTATCCATGGCAACACCTCCTATTCATCCCTGGGCTGTGGAGCCACTGGCTGACTCCTGTTTTCCCCCCACAGGCTGGCTAGCTGATACCAGATCAATTATTGAACACTCCTCACAGACAGCTAGAGTCATCCTCCAACCCAGTCTCTGTTCAGCCTGTGCTGAAAGAGATTTTCCCTGTTCCGTGGGGGGCACGGAGAGTGGGACAGTCCACATGCACAGCAAGGAGCTGTCAATGTGATTAAAGATCTGCCTAGTTTTACAGCAACCCCCCTCTAGCCTACACACACTGACCTTTTGGCTCACTCCAAACCTCTGCTGCTGTTGATACTGATCATGCATGTCCCAGTACTGTTCACTGTCCGTTAACGACCTAATTAACAGAGTGTGAATACGCCATAGAGTGACGGATAATACATGTCTAAATTTAGTGTGCGTTGAAGGAGATGTCAGCACAATGGGTGGAATTATGAATATGAAAGATTGCAGATAATTTAATTGGAATGTAGTTAATGGATTTTGTCTAGTTTAGAAATTATATGATTTTTATTAAATGCATCTAATTTAAAAGCTGATTGACTGAGACATGTTCAGAGCTTTTGGAAAATACTCAGTATACACACATATGGCTGCATACATAAAATGATATCTGGTTAAAAACCTTTGCACAATGCATGGAATAATCTTTGACCGTTTGCCATAGATTACTGTAATTCAGTGGCAGAACTGACCACTTGCAAAATTTTCTCCTGTCTCCTGCCTCCTTTATTTGCTGTTGCCTGTCTGTCAAACTTTCAGCTCAGAGCATCCATAGCACTTGTGCTAACTAAATAGTTCAGTAGCACAAAGAATTATTGAAATGCACACAGGAGGCAAACATGTTTGAGAACTGAAAAAATGTGAATGTAGGCCAATCTTAACTGTAAAGTAAGATCATATTTACATTAATTAAACCAGGGAAGTATTTTAATCCCTGTGCGTTAAAGCGCTAGGTTTTCATGTGTGATAAGGAAGAAGTTTGAGCGATGGGAGCTACCCCTTCTGACCTAATATTGGCCCTGCATTATATGCTGAGAAGGACATATCTTTTTCACTAGGTCTTTGCCGACATTTGCAAATTAACCACCTAAACGGCCAGGGGCCACCAGTGTGCCCAAACAAACTTCTATAATCTAGAAATAGCTCAGTTTGCATTGAGGTCCCTGTAGTTACTCAATAGCAAGGCTTAGTCTGTAACAAACCTGGGATTTTAATATATTTTAATATTTATCTTTACACAGAATGTTTATATTCACAAACATGAACACTGGAAGGCACTATTTAGTCTGATTGGTTTATCATGCTAACTGTCAACAGGTAAGTTAAAAGCTTTCTTGGCTAGCTAGCTGATCTTTATATTGGTCTGTGATGTTAGTTATCATTAGGGGTCATATTTGCTAACCTAGACAAAGTTACCTTAGGGCCTGTTTTGACATTGCCCTGTGGGTGTGGTCTTCCAACTAAAACATTTTCAGCAATTAAAACAAGCCTCCAGATGATCTGCAATATACATTCTTCAGTACCACCTTTCCGCCACCTTTTAGCCCAGTAATTCAGACTGATTTACTGCCAATGCCTTTCTCACTCAAGGTTTGTTCTGAGAAGTTTTTCCTTCACTTGATGGAAGATGCAGTGCTTAGCTGTTACTAGAGGCACCAGTGGTTATTTTGCAAATGGTCAGTTGTTTACTGCAGCTGATATTAAAAGTGAATTATTTTATTTTTTGAACGTTGGTATCATATTGTATTTTGACTCTGCTGCATGTTTTGCCTAACCACACGCTTCAAGCATGGTAAAATTATGGTTTATCGCTTTATTTTACCTCTCAGAGGTATCAGTTTTATGTATTTGCTGGGTGATCTAAATAGCAGGCAGACTACCGAATTGCCTAGTAACACAGACCCATCTCAGTGTTTCAGTTAGCTAGCACTTTAGGACAAGCTGGAAAGGGGGCTGGCTAGTCACAGCCCAGCAGTAAAAGTGCACTATGTAGGTCGAGTTCAGGTGAGGCCGAGTGCTGTCATCCTTTTCCACCCCAATAACGCCAGAGACTGCCTGAGTGTTAAACCCAGACAAGATGGCCAAGGTTCTACTTTCCAGCACTCACTAGCCTAACGCTCCCATTCTGTCTTTATACACTTCATTTTATATGTTGATTATTGCAGGCATATGTTTGTATTCACTTGCAGATAAATGTATAAAATTGTTCTAAAGTGCTAGTCCTGTGTAACTTTTCTCAAATAGTGCCTTCAAATAATGAATAAAAAGCTAGGAACCTGAAAAAATGAAATGAATATGTTGTAGATGTGTCCAGAATGATGACTGAAGCTGTAAATAATTCTAAAATAACATAGACAGCTGTAAGCCATCAATAATGAAGTTAATTAATAGTTAATATCTTGAATGTCTTGTTTTTCTAGTGTGCATCAAATCTCAAGTAAGAAACCTATAAATTTTATTTTAAAAGGTAGATAGTTGCAGTATGTTATTTACCGTTTAATAACTTCTTATTGTTCCCGAAATACTTGAAATGTTAAATAAAGCATCCATTTAAAGTCAACGTGAATCAGAAATCATAACTCATTTTCTTTATGAACCGTAACATATTTATGAGTGAAGCATGTTATCAGGGAGAGTCTCTGAGTATTTTGTTTGATCGTTGGTGGGGTGATTGGGAGGGGAGGTGAAACATGATTTTATTTGTTAATATTATGTTCTTCAACCACTGATACATGTTGATGTAACATGTTGGAGGCGAACAAAAGTCATTACATTTTGATCAAAGACAGCAGAAGAATAAGATTTTTTTTAATTTTGTCTTTTACATGATATGAGATGATCTAGTATGACCAGGGTTGTTAAATAACCAGGTGCAAAAAGGTCAATTTTGATTTGAGGTTGATTTTAACTATTCATTGTAGAGGCTATTGTTGTATATAAAACAAATTATTAATAAGTGATCCCTAATTTCAGTGATGAGTAATTCCAGCCTTTTACAGCCTTAACAGTATTATATAAATTGTTGAATTATGTGTTTGATCTGACCACAGATTGTACAGACCACACGGCTAACAGGGCCGGATAACCCTCTGGAGATGATCTACTTTGTGGAAGGTGCTAACGGTGAGAGGCTACCTGCTGTCACCACAGCTAACCTGCTGAACAAACTGGATGTCCAGCGTGCCGCTATAGTGCTTGGATACCGTATCCAGGGCATCCTGGCCCAGCGTGAGTCTTCACCCAAAAACACATTACTCTCACTTCATGGAGGGAACTGGAAATAGAAGAGACTGAGAAATGAGTTCTCCGCATGAACCCTTTCATGGAGCCCTTCTCAGTTGTTTTTAATCAAATGATCATAACTAGTCCTCTGACCGCAGTGCGAGTTGGCAGTGGTATTTGAAAAGTGAATGCTTGAGTTCTTCTCACTGTAAACATCAAAGACGAGGGTTTAATGAGCATGTCCTCCAGAGAGCTCGGCCGCTTTATCTGACACTGTTTGTGCTGGCAGACTTTCAGCTGCTTCACCTACAGCAAAAAAAAAATATATCTACCTTCATTAGACTTAATGAAGCTATTTCCTGTTGTATAACAGCAAAGTATCCGGAGGCCTGAGGCACTTCTCTGTCTCTGAGCATTGTTTACCTCACTGTGCTACTAAAGGACCAGTTCACAAACTTTACTATAATTCACTTGGCATCACAGTCAGTACAGCTCAAGGTTTTGGCATGTACTATCCAGTTATGCAATATTATACTGCACTTGTGTCTATTCACATTATGTAACCCTGCTTTAACTTAGGTGATCAACAATGTGAAATCTAACTTCTGAGTGAATGTATTATTAGGGAAATTTTGCCCACTTAAAAAATAAAAATGTATGACATGAAAAATTATACAAAAAGGCCAAAATTGATCATGAAAAAGTAAAAATACCAAAAAATTATGACCAGAAAATTATTCTGTCTCCTTTTGTCAGGTTAAAGGTGAGTTGATTTTCTAGGGAAAACTTACCAAGTCAGAGTAGTAATTTAATGCCTCTAAAAGTTACCTCACAGCAAAGTATTACATGAAATGGTTGTGAATATGCTCCCTAATGCTTGAGACACTGTTTTTAAATAAAACAACATATTTTTTCAATCTATTGATGGTGGAGAGATATGTGCAGGGTATAGCACCAAAAAATGTTTTCCCAGACTTACCACTATTTTACCATCAGCAAACATTACATATAAATAGAAAAATAAAATGGTAATAAAATAGTAAATAGATAGCTTGTGTTTGATTGTAGATATCACAGCCCCTAGTTCTTATTACCACCATTGTAAAGGAATCTGAGTCTGTAAGTTTTTCTACAACAAACCATTTCACATCAAACAACAAATCAGTTTGGTGAGAGGGCTTTTAACTACTATTTCTAGTGAGAATAGGCCTGACTATAAAGACTGGCTTTTCAACAAGAAAACTTTTTTTTTATTCCCTTGTTCCTGTGTCATTCAATAGCATAAATAAGAGGTTTCAGTTTTGATTTCAATCAAGAAGTTTTATTTTGGTGCATCACATTATGTAATCATGTTTCTGCTTTCTTTTAATATCTTGCTCTGCATGTGCAGCTGTGGAGAAGCAGGCGTCGTCACCCTCTGAGACGGAGAACGCCAACACATGGATTATAGTAGGAGTGGTGGTGCCTGTGCTGGTGGTGGTGATTATCATAACCATACTGTACTGGAAACTGTGCCGCACAGATAAACTAGAGTTTCAGCCGGACACCATGAGCACCGTCCAGCAGAGGCAGAAGGTATGAGTGTGGAGATTGCCTTCTTTAAACCCCTTAAACTATTGGCTTATTATTCATGTATTTATATTCAGTAACTACTATGAAACGTATACATAGGTTATTGGTACAGTCCTGTCCTTTTAGTTTTGTTTTGTAATACAAGCGCAGAGGAGTGTGACAAAAGCAAAAGCATTTGTTGCAGCGTCTGCGTTGTTGTTTGGCTTGTCTGCTGAATTGTGTTAATGAGGGCCAGATAGAGCTAATCAGTACATGGGCTCCTGTGTGTCTCTGCTCTGTCTGACTGCTGCTTATCTCATATCTGTGCGACTGATTTGGGCTACTCAGTGCCATTCCAGCCTCCGAGTTATTTTTGTATCTTTGAGATCAGACCAGAATTATTCTTGTTGGGTGAGGTCACATCTTAGTTAAAGTACTTTGTTTGAACTGATTCTCTGGTGTTGCAGCTGAATGTTAGTAGCACGTATACACACATACACTGCTCATCAGAAGTCTAGAGACACGTAGATTTGTAATCTGTTTTGTCTAATTGGACAAGTAAATACACAAGGTTAAACTAAAGAGACGTATTTAAAGAACTGTAATTTCAGTATAAATGTGTAGGTTTCCCAGCAGGCTAGCTGATTTACTTGAGAAAATTATGGATGTAGAAAATGGATTTAGTTGTCCACGACAAGTCCTTGGAAAAGCTTGATGTCAAGCCCTGCACAGTGTGCATTTTCGGCCCTTGTTGTGACGTCTCATCAGCACAACTTTTTGGTTGTTACCTTTAGGTCAACAGATTTTAAGTGTGCCTTTAATCATAGTTTGGAAAAAAAAACTGCCATAAATGTGTATTATAGTTTAGCAAATAGGCAATTGCTATACAAAACATTGGGTATTTTCCTGTCCTTACACATGGATGACAAGTAGAGATGAAAGCTGAAAATGTGAAAAAATAATTTGCTTCTGGTAGCGGCTGATTTCGGTAAGTGAACTTTTAACCATGCAAATTTGTGGACCATAGAAATGTAAGCCAATAGAAAACATGCGAGAGGTGCTGTGGTCTCTTCTTTCTTAAAAAAGCTGGTTCTTAGTCAGCTTGTTGCTCGCAGTATTATAGCTATATAGGACACTGCTGTTTACTGAACTATACATTCCCTCCAAAAAAATATCACATCAGCACAATAATTTCTATAATGTCATAGTACAGCTGTACTCTCTTATTCTCTGCTATGGCCAGAGTCTTCTGTTCTCTCTCTCTCTCTCTCATTCCCCCCACATGCTCATATACACTGTTGCTGGTATTATACAGCCATGTACTTATGCAGTGCAGATTAACTGCTCTAATTTAACCACATTTTAACTAAAGAGCACGCTCTCAACACACCCTGCATCTGCCCCCACTCAAGAGCACATACTCACAGTACATACCACGTGTGTGCTCTCAAACTCCTCATGGAGTACACTTCCAAGACACTCCAGTTCTGCCCTCTTCCAACCCTTTTATTTTCTAATAGCCGCACAGCTGCACGACCCCTTGCTGAACTTGATGTCATTGTTACCATTTAAGCCCTGTTTTTAAGTGTTCTTTTCCACAGTTTTGAGTTCAGCTCTTGACTTCAACTCTTATTCATTCACCTTGAAGAGTCAGCTTTGGTGCTGGTAGTTTGACATTGGTTTGTGGTACCTTACTGTGTCGTCTTATTATTTCATAATTGCAGTTTTAATTTATTGCATTATGTATCACAGTTGCAGTATGTAGTAATGTATTCGCAATGTTAGTATTTTGTACATATTATGCAACTCTAGTTTGTGGTTGCAGTTTTGTTAGTGATAGTAAGCGCCATTGGGTCTGTTGCCATCGTCTTACGTCTTTCACTCCATTTCATTCTTCTCACCCTGTCATTGATCTGGTTTCCTTTACCCTTTATCTCTCTCTCTCTCACCACATTTTCACCTCCGATCACCATCCAGTCCACAGCTTCATTACAGAAATCCATACCCTCAATCCAGAGGTCAATGACCCCAGTCAAGAGCAGAAAACTAGTAGTAGTAGAGAGCAGTGAGGAGGAGGAGGAGGAGGAGGAGGAGGAGGAGGAGGAAGAAGAAGAGGAAGAAGAAGAGGAAGAGGAGGAGGAAGAGGAAGAAGAAGAAGAAGAAGAAGAGGAGGAGGAGGAGGAAGAAGAAAGGAAAAAAGAGAAGGTAGAGGGTGGTGGAAAAGCAGTTCACTGAAGTAGATCTATCTATGGTCCGCTCACAAATGTGTTTATTCATAGCAACTTTTGCTTGATTAGACAAACTTTATAGAGCATTGACAAAAAGCCCATTCAAGTCAATGAGAAATTGTAGAATGTAATTATTTCTCTCGAAATACCTAAATGTTTCTCATGGACCACTACAGTGTTAGTTTCCCTACATAATGTTGAGCTTTCCAGTAAAATGTGCTATCAAGGTGAAGAATGTTGTAGCAAATGGAAACTAGGCAGGCTGGAAGCAACAATGTCAGTGAATTTGTCCATGCTAATGTTAACTCAACAAAAGAATGCATGCAAAATAAAAAAATATTTGATGTTAATAATATGCTTTTAGTGTAGGTACCGTAACAAAAACAAGTTCTGTGTTACAGTTTCTCATTAAGTTAAACACTTGTCCAATCTAACAACATTTGCTATGAAAGAATGTATTTTGTGGGCAGAGCATGGGTCAGTGAATTGTTTTTAGAGTCTTTAGCAAGTCTCCCTCACAGACTCACAGTAGTGCAGCAGTAGTTTATATTAGAACACCAGGAAAATATACTCTGCCACCCAGCAAGTGGTATCTTTTCTCTTTTTTATAGCCGTTTTAATCCTGCTTAGTCCCTGGTTCTGCAGTATTGTAGTGGGCAGTTTGTGCTTTGTGCAGGAAATTAACATGTTTAAATGACAGCATGCAGAAGAGTGGAGCGGAAACATACCTGAATGTATGCCTTGCCTCCTTCCATACTTCAAAATCGAATCAGAAACCAGTTCCTGCTGCCAGGGGCATTAAGAGACAAGAAACCGTGGAATATGATGAGGAAGAAGAGGAGGAGGAGGAGGAAGAGGAAGAAGAGAGGAGGAAGAGGAAGAGGAAGAGGAAGAAAAGCCCAAAAAAGTGATCAAGAAAAAGTTAAAAGATTTGGTGGAAAAGTCAGAGGTACAGAAGTATAGGGGTAGAGCTAGCTTCCTTAAAATGCTATAGTTGGCTCTAGCCCTAGCTGTGTAGCGGGTAATCCCCTTGTCATAAAATTGATAACCGGAATTGGAAAAAATAATCTCAACCCCAGATGTGTATGAATGCTTCTTTGTAATCCCACCCCCCTCCATTTAGGCCTAAGTAGAGCATTCTAAACACTAACACTGGCCTACATTTGGTCCCTATTTACACAGGGAAGAGGCAGTTTTTATTGTATTCAGCTTTTGTCCTATTTCTAAACAGCCTGATTTACATTCAAAAGAGACTGAGCCAAAAGAGATAACTGTATACGCTCCCTGATGATTGGTGGATTAGCACATTTTCAAGAAGGAAAGCTGGTCACTAACTTTCTGTCTAAAAACAGCATCAGCTGAAATGCTAAAATACCATCTTTCCAAAAAAAAAGCACAAAGTTCTGGTTTTGTTTTTTGCAGTCGATGAATCTGCTGCACCTATTATGGTTGGGTTTTCTGTTCTCGACTGGTCCCTGGAGAGAGCCTGCAGGCATTAAGCAGCATTACAGTGCTTGTTCTGCTCATCTGGTCTGTTATCCTACTACACACAGACAGACAGGCAAGCAGGCAGGCCAGCATGCAGCACATTTAATTCATTACTGCCTGTCTGCCTCCTCAGCCATGCAGCCAGTACACTGAAAAAACATAAGGCACTGCATTTACTTGCACTTCATTTCCACATGAATGAAATCTGTTACAGCACAATTTTGTTTTTCATTTGACTTACTTTTGGCAATAACTGTGCTGATTAGGACTGCCACAACTACTCAATTAAACTTGATTATTCACTTAACAAAAAAATCATCATTTCAAACTTGGGTAAAATGATTCAATACAATACGATACAGTGGTGTCTTTATTCTGTACGTTCTTTGATACAGCAAAAGCAAGGAATGCCTGGAAGTCTTATGTTAATATGTTAATATTTAAAAATGCACTAGCCACTGGCTAATGTAAGTTTATGAGGATTATGCTTTTCCTCCCTGTTGCTCTTAGTAAAGATTTAAAGAGGAGGCGATATTTTTACAGGAGGGAAGGTCTGCCCTCATTTGCCAGCTTGGTTGTTTCATATATTTTTACTTCTGTAGCATAATCAGTATTAACATGAGTACTTTATTTGATCCATTGTAAATGTATTGCTCACTGCTTGTGCCTATTGAATGACGAGGCTCATATTGAACAGTACTCCAGCAAGAAACAATGTTTTAAAGCTGCTCTATGTATGATTTTTTTTTATTATTATTGAAAGAAGTAGCATTACTAAGTAAATGATATGATGGCTAGATCATTCACATACATCCTCAGAAGACACGTCCTTCACCAAGTTTTGACTGAGCTCTCTTTGAATTCTTTTTCAGTGCACTCACGATCATCAGATTCATCCACTTGGGAGGGGATGCGCAACCGATGTTACAAAATGTTCTTCCACACATTGTGTGCAATTACACTTTTCCACCAAAGAGGTCTCCAAATCCCCATAACGTACAGCTAAAAAAGACTTTTAAAGACTTCCTTATTTAGCTTTTTCCAATAGGATATTTTGAATTCTTTAAAAGTTTATGCATAGGTTGTTTTTATTCGGTTATCACATTCGTTATTGTTTGGCCTCCTTAAAAACTTTGATTGCTCGACTAATCATCAAAATAGTTTCTAGATTGTTTGATTATTAATTTAGTTGAAAGTAACAATCTTAGTGCCTTGTATTACACTTTATTCGTCTGGAAATGATGTACAGATTTAATTCAGTAAATTCCCTTTTTTTGTGTGCTCAAGCCACACCATCCATCTTTTTCCTTGTGTCTTTGTCTATCTGTTTATTCATTTATTTCTTTAACTCAATTTATTAATTTAATTTGTTTTCATTGTTTCTGTCTTTGAACCTAGACAGTGTAATTTGGTAAACCAAGATCAAAAGCATTTGGATACTTTTCCATGCATTCCTACATTCACACTGCAGAACGTCTCTGAATGAGCTGGACTGAAGCCTGGCCTGATTCTGTCTCAAACCCTGTGCTCCTCTTGGTGCTTTCTCCTAAAGTAAACACCAGATTGTGAAAGTCTTTCATCCTTCTCCCACCTTTTAGTCCCTTTCTGTCCACCTTTCCCTCTCCACACATCTCTGTTATTTCCATCCTTCCATATTAACTCCTGCCTCTCTCTCCTCTGCACTGCCGCTCTGCAGCTGCAGGCTCCTAGCGTGAAGGGCTTCGACTTTGCCAAGCTGCACCTGGGCCAGCACAGTAAGGATGACCTCATGGTGATTCAGGAGCCGTTACCGCTGCCAGTGTCCGCTAAGGAGCCAAGCGCTGCTGAAAATGCAGAGGCATCCACACCCAAATCCAAAGGCTCCTCCACCAAAGCCTCAAGAAACAGCCAGCAAAGGAAAGGACGGTGAGTGAACAGGAGTGAATAAATACAGAAAAGTTATATTCAAAGTAACTCAATTCACAGTAACAGGAAAGTGCAATAAAATTATAAGGATGAAACTAACTTTAATGGACTTCACGTTTTGTTGCCCATGGTATAACCTATGCTAGTCATGCCTGTGACATGCCACTAAAAAACATAAAATTACATAAATAAAAACATATTATGGAACCAAAAGCTTATGCCGTGACTAGGTAGCATGGCCTTTTATGTAAATACCTGGCACAAATCAGAAAAAATGGAAAAGCCTCTTTTTGTTTTGATGCTTTTGAGCTGTGGAACTTAGTGAATGAATCTTTAACGTATAAAGTTCTGCCTTTCTGTATTTATCTTTTTACACTTACCTGTTATTGTCTCAGTTTATTCTAGTGAATACTGTATTCAGCTTTATTTTCTTTTACTGGTACTGGACTTCACTTATCTGTACAGGACTTTGAGTTGCTACCTGTATGAAAGTGGTCTATAATGTTTATTGTTTATTACTATTATTATTATTATTATTATTATTATTATTGTAAGCTTTTATATAGCAACAAAACAGTCACTTACAGTTAGACTAGTACTAGGAGCTTTAACTGAGAATTCTTAGTTGATAGAACAGGCCAGTAAAAAAAAAATGGAGGTTTTATTTTTGTCTGTAGGCTTTTTTCTCAGTATCAGAAACTATCATTATGATATAGGCTTACATCCTAAGTATGAATACAAACAAGGCCATCCTCTAGAAGAGGAGTGTCAAACTCAACCACTAAAAGGGCCATATTAAAAAATCTCAGTAAATCCGTGGGCCAGCTGTGCTTTTACTTCATTTACTTAACATTTTGCCATGACCCAAATGGACCATTGTTTATTCAAAATATACCAAAACTGCAACAGCAAAATAGGCACTGACATCATATTCATACATTGGCCTGTGGATAAATAAAAATAAAGTGAAGAGAGAAAAAAAACACTCCTTATTCTTCACAATTTACTAAAACCGGGCAGTGTTAACCCCATGCATTGCATAATAAGACTGTTTCTGAACTAACAGTCTTGTTTTGACGTAAACATGTTATTTCCAGTTATTGGCATGTGTTGGAATGACCCCCTGTTGCAATGAAGCGGTGTGTATGACAGCAAAAAATCCATCTCTTCTAATGCTCTTCTCTGATTTGCTAATGCGTTTTGCAAAGTATAATGCTCATATTAAAACAACACATGTTCATCGATTTTCAGAGAGGAATCCCATCAATAGTGAGATCCCTGTAAATCAATAAAAGTCTTTTTAAAAGGGCTTTCATCTAGCCCTCAGATCAATAGTTCATGCATTACAGTAATGGCATGAAGCAAAGGCTGGGTGCATTCATCATCCTAACTGACAAACATGGCCTGCGTCATGCAATTTTTCTGTTTCTGCAAAAAGATGGAGTGGAATGATTCAGAAATATCCAACATATACAGAAATGGTCTTAATGGTCAAAACTGGAGGTAACATTTACTCATGATATGTTAAATTATATTGGGTATAGGTATATTACAAATCACAACTGTTTAAGTCTACTGTAAATAGTGACTCTGCTGGTTGCCCTTTTGCCATTTTGAAGTAGCTTTAAATCTGCTACAGAACTGTGTGTGTAATGGTAGACCTTCAGAAATGACTCTGTAGACCTAACTAATGAACTTTTGGTGCTTATTAGTCATATTTTAATTGAGAGGCAGTCTTTGGGCTTGACAGAAGTAGGTCAGCTTCCCCTTGCATCTTCCCTCATGATCAGCCTCATAAAAGTTGAATTGGCGCTAAATTGTGTTGTCCATCAAAATGTTGGGGGTGAGGAAAGATTTGAGCTGGTTCTTGTCTGGGGCACATTTAAGCTAATGCAAAATTGTTTTATAATGCAAGAGGGGAAATGTGGTAATTATAAATTGCTCAGCAGATGTTGCTGAACTTGATTAACTCTCTGAGTTTAATAATCAGAATCTAAATCAGGAATCATTACTAATTCACAGTCAATTACAATATCAGAATAAATACATGCACTTGATTTGAATTCTGTATTCTGTAACCCTTTGGACCATATCAGTGAAAATTATTCTCAAATCATGTCTTTGTTCTCAAAAGCAGCTTTCCAGCTTTTCGAGATCACTACCACCAGCCGTCTTTTACTGAATGTATGTAAATCATTTTGCTGTGGGCTGTATTTTGTAGGATTTCCCCTTCGGACGGCGATTCAGTGGGCAGTGATCCGTCCAGTGATAAAGAGTCTCCCAAAGAGAACCCGAGACTGCCCAGTGACTCCAAGCAGCCTCGCAAGATGGCCACTAACGGATTGAATGGCAAGTTAACCGGCTCCAATTACCATTTCACAGTAGTCATGAAGACATACTTGGGAGAAAATGAGACCATCTCTTTGCTCCTGAGAAAAAAATGTGGTGAACAAAGAAAGGGAAGTTACATTAAGGACAGACAGAGAAAGAGCAAGGAAGGACTTTAAAAAAAAACATACATAGTGAGACTGATTGAATCTGTGTTGGAAGTGGAGGAAAATATGTACCTATATTTTGTTATATTCAAAATATGTGAGGTAGATGTCTGTATGTGATATTTTCTCATACTGGAGTAAAAAAGTACATATTTCCTCATATCTTAAATATACATGCAGTAGATGTCAACATATGTAATCTCTTACAAAAGAAAATATATGTACATTCATTTCCTTATTATACAAAATATATGTGGAACAAATGTCAATATGTATCATGTAGTTTCATACAGACAAATATATGTACATATATGTATATATATAATCTTCACATCCCAAACATATGTGCAATATATGTCAATATACACTCACCAAGCATGTTATTAGGAACACCTATACACCTACTCATTCATACCATTATTTGATCAGCCAATCGTGTGGCAGCAGTGCAGTGCATAACATTGTGCAGATATCAGCCAGTAGCCTTAATGTGCACATCAACCATCAGAAAGGGGGAATAATGTGATTTTGATTTTGGCATGATTGTTGGAGCCAGATAGGCTGCTTTGAGTATTTTTTATAAATGCTGATCTGGAATTTTCATGCGCAACACTTTCTAGAGTTTATGCAGAATGTTAAAAATATATATGTCCAGTGAGCAGCAGTTCTACAGACAGAAATGCCTTGTTGATGAGAGAGATCAACAAAGAATGGCCTATCTGGTTCATGCTGACAGAAAGGCTACGATAACTCAGATAACCACTCTGTACAATTGTGGTGAGCAGAAAGGCATCTCAGAATGCACAACATGTCGAACTTTGAGAGCAGAAGACCATGTCAAGTTCCACTTCTGTCAGCCAAGAACAGAAAGCTGAGGCTGCAGTGGGCACAGGGTCGCCAAAACTGGACAGTTGAAGACTGGAAGAACATTGTAACGTCCTGTCTTGTTCCACTTTGCCCTTCCCTGTTTGTGTTTGTATCTGCCTTTTTTATCTTCCCTCGTGTGTCTTTTGTTTATGTAGGTCATGTGCTTTTGTTGTTTTGGCCTGTGTCTCTTCCCTGGTCCTGCCCCCTGGTCATCTGTCCCACCTATCTCTAGTCTGTAGCCCTGCCCTCTAATTAGTCCTAGGTGTTTCTTGTTTCTCCTCAGTGTATTTATACCCTTGTGTGTGCTAAATCCTTTTGTCTTGCATTGTCGGTGTGACAGCTTTGTTTGTTGTTCCCTTGGTCTAGTTTTCTGCAGTCTTGTTTCTGATTTTGAGTTGTTTAGTTTGTCTTCCTTTGTGTTTAGTTTTGTTGTGCTCTGTTTGCTTTCCCTCTTTTTGTTGCATCATGGACTTATCTGCTCTACTCACCTCTGCTACTCAGTTTCTGGGCTCTAAGATCAGATTAAAAAATCTAATTAAAAAAAAGCAACTCACACTTGCATCCAGCCTCATCGCCTCAAACATTACAAACATAGCCTGGTCTGATGAATCTTGATTTGTGCTGAGGCACACAGATGATAGGGTCACAATTTGGTGCCGACAGCATGAATCTGTGGACCCTATCTGCCTTTGTGTTCATAGTCCAGGCTGGAGGTGATGGTGTAATGATGTGGAGAATGTTTTCTTAGCATGTTTTGGGCCCGTTAATTGAGTATCGTTGACCCTGTGCACCCCTTCCTGGCCACAGTTTACCCATCTTCTAATGGCTGTTTTTATACTTCATTATAAGCTGTTTCCATTAACATGACAGTGAGTTCGGTATTCTTCAGTAACCTACCCAGTCACTAGATCTATACCCAGTAGGAAATCTTTGAGATTTGGTAGAACCGAACATTTGCAGCATGGAGGTACGCCTAAAAAGAAATCTGCAGAAATTAATGGAACAGATTCTCAGAAGAATATTTCCAGCATCTTGTGGAATCCATGCCACGAAAAATGGAGGCTGTTTTGAGAGCAAGGGGAAGCCCTACCCAGTATTAGTGTAGTGTTCCCAGTAAAGTGGTTGGTGGGGGTATGTGATGCATTCTCTTACAGATAAAAACATATGTACATATATTTCCTTAGATCCAAAATATATATGTAACAGGTGTCACTATGTATGATATATTCTCATACAGAAGGCAAATGTATGTACATATGTTTTTTCTTATCACAAATATACATTAAATTAATGTTAATATATGAGATACCGTCTCTTACAGAAGAAGACGTATGTCTACAGTTTCCTTACATCCAAAAAAATATGTGCGACAAATGTCTATCCATGATATTCCCACACAGAAGACAAATGCATGTACATATATTTCCTCATATCCAAAATATATGTACAATAGATGTCACAGATGTTATATTTTAACCCTGAAATTCCAAATGGCTTTGTTTGTTCTTGGATTTCTTAAGAATGCTTCAATATGAGATATATTAATCTCAAATTGTTGCTTGATCTGTTTATAAGCCCCACCCCCGACATTCCCCCCTCCCCTCATTTTCCCACTCAGCCAGTGTTCATTAATCCTCAGTGATAAAGAATAAGCTCATCCTGCTCTTCACTTTTTACTCTCTCCTATACTATCCCTCTTTTCCTGATAACCAAAGGTGCTCTTGCAGATCTATAGTGTGACTGACCAAATTACTCTTATTGACCCTGGAACCTAGATTGGCCTCCATCTTTTTCCAGTCATTCATACTAGTTTTGTCTAATGGCCACACATTTTGTACTGTTGCCTCCTTTCACCTCTCTTTCATTGTCCCCCATGCACTTTTTTGATTTTGCTTATATGAGCCAAGATACTGTAAAGTACTGTTCAACAAGCATTTCATTCTATTCTCATGTTCATATTAGTCATGCAGTAAAAATAGGCTCTATAGTGTTTACAAAAGGTCCATAACTGGCTTTCTTTGTATCTCTCTCTCTCTTACTCTCTCCCTTTCGTCTGTTGTGGCTCTCAGGGAGAAATAGGATTGGTAAGAACATCTCTGGTCTGTAATGTAGAGCTAGTGTAGTTTGAGTAGCAGTTACTGTGTTTTCATCCTATTATATGATTTGCACATCTTGATCTGCACATCATATTCATTAATAGTCCAATCCTTTGTAAGCTGCTGTTTTTAGTAGTTAGTAATTTTGCATCTGTTTTAGGATCTTCATAGTTTTTCTGATATCCTACTTGAGCATGCAGATCTTGTTGTAGAACCTGAAAACTTACGGTTATTTAGTGCTATTTTATCTGTAATACTGAACATTGTGTCTGCTAACTGATCCCTCATCCTTACTCATGTGCACATGTGCTAGGTTAGCAGATGTTTCACCTTAATTGAAAGTCAGTACCCATAGAGTTACAGCAGACACTGCCCCCTGCTGGAATGGAAAGGCACCTGCAGTACTTTGAAGAAGGGGTGTTACTCTGTCATCTGAATGAGACACGCTTTGTACATGTCAGTTTATGTCTTGTATTTAAGTAATGTTGACAGGTAAAGTCCTCACCTGGCACTGAGCATATCCATCATGCTTTGCGGTTTATATTCCTAGTTTTGATGTGACAGCATTAAAATCAAACCTTGCTCCCTGTAGGTCCTCCTCCACTGAATGGTGTAGATGAGCAGGTGTCCTCAGCCTCCATCTTTGAGCATGTGGACCGGATGTCCCGCTCGGTGGACGGTGCCAACAAACGCTTGTCCAGCAAGATCCAGCTGATCGCCATGCAGCCCATGCCTGCTTTACCCTTACCTAACCCTGCAGTCACTGACAAGGCTGCCGAGAACACCAAGATCACCAAGGAGGTGTGCTAAACTTAATTTCTATCAATAATCTATCAATAATTCATTAGCAGATCCTTTAGGATATCTCTACTGCTATAAAACAGCGGAGGTCCAGTTGAGAATTGCATTCCTTAATTCTTAACTCCTTCCTGAAGTTAAATACAGGACTTTTAAAGCAGGGTGACCACACTTACTTACCCATTTGAGCTGGGTATGCTGGTACTGTTAATTGTTAGTAAATGTCATTAGAATTTTAGTACAGACTTACATCTGTCATTGTGCTATACTATGTAAATGTCATTATACACAGTGCTTTGCAAAAGTCAGGCATTTCTTATTTATTTAATGTTCAGTATTAACAGCCATTGAGTACAGGTTATCCACTTTTCAGGAGATATTGCTAAGGATACAAGACAGTTCACTTGCATAAGGAAGGGGAAAGTCAGAGGAAAATAAGTCAGACGAGTTTCCAAAACTAGAGTTAACACAGAAAATCAAGCTCCACTCTTGCTTCAGTTCTGAAAAAAATCCCCAGGTGTTTCTGTTCATCCTTCCACTGTGAGAAGATAACTCAACACTATGGGTCTGAAAGTGTAGCTGCCAAGAAGCTGTTAGAAAAGGAAATAGAAAAAAAACAAGAAAGTTTACAAATCAAAGATGATGCTGGTGTTCCCAGAACAATGGGCAAACCACCCCAGAGCCCAGACCTCAACATCACTGAATGTGTTTTTGGATTACTTGGATTGTAAGAAGCAGAAAATGCAACCAACTTCTAAGACTGAACTTCAGAGGTGTGGAAAAATGTCCCTGCAGATTTCTTTGAAAAAGCAAGTCTCCTGAAAAGAATGGAGTGAAGCTATAAACACTCTAATACTGACAAAAATGTATATTATATTTAGTTGTTGAGGCTTCTGTCATTTTCTCTTAAATATACATGTTCTACTTTTTTTCCTGATCCTCAAAAATGAATAATTTGTACTTCATGATTGTTTTGACTGAAAATTAAATAAATGAAATTTTGACTTTTGCAGAATACTGTAATTACTTAATTACTGTAATTGATTATATTATAGTTAGTTACATAATGAATTACATTTATATCTGATTTACATTTTGTGTTGGTTCGAGCCAACACAGTGGCAAAATATGACAAATGTAAATATCTCTTCTTCTATTACAAATACTTTAACAGAATTTTCACACTTTTACACTTGATATTAATCAGTTAAATTAGATTAGTTAAATATTTCATATCAGATTTCAACATGTTTTTGTTATTTCAGCGAAATAACTCAGTTCTGTTTCTTGACTCTGTTCCCTATTCAGATCCAAGTTGCTCTGAGACAAAAGTCTGAGATCGAGCACCATCGTAATAAGATCCGCCTAAGGGCCAAGAGGAAAGGCCACTATGACTTCCCTGCCATGGATGATATCATTGACGGCCTGGGTGACCCCAAAGAGCAGGACCGCATCTACCAGAAGGCTCAGATGCAGATTGATAAGATCCTGGACCCTGACATCCACATGCCCCCTCTCTATACCGAGCCCAAGAAAAGGTTGGAAAGCACATGGACAACAGCTAAATAGTACTGCATTTATATATTTAAAGAAGAATTGAAATACAGATATACTGGGCTCATAATTTGTAGATTCATCCACTGTGTGTGTGTGTTTTCAGTGGCAGAGAGAGGCGTTCACCCAGACAGAGGAAGAAGCAGCAGATGAATGGAGATCTGGTAGATGCAGACAGAGACAGACTCATCACCACAGACAGTGATGGCACATATAAGAAATACCCTGGAGTCAACAACATAGCATATGTGGTCAGTCTACTAATTACAATTTCTGTGCTTAGCATTTTCTCTTCCCTTTTCCCTTTCATTTCAAAATGTAGTCTAACTAATAAATAGTAGTATATAACTCGGTCTGTTTTGAATTCTTTGCTTCTATAAGTTCACAGAAACTTACACATTTGCATGTATCCACCTTCAGCAGTTTAGCACTCCAGAAGTTATAAGGAGTATTTTAGCCTAGACTGCTTTTTGAATGATGCACAGCCAATCAGAGTGGAGTATATTTGCATATTTGCCTGTATCAGCCTAAAAGCAGTAGTAACAAAACAGCCTGTTTAATTCTAAGGGAGAAAAAGGGGTTAAAAATGTATAATCAGTTATGTGTAATGTATAATCTTGTGTAATCAGTTATGTTTTTGGTACCTAAACACACACATGTCATATAGAGACTTGAGGGAGAAAAATAAAGTAGACAGATGTTGGATATGGGCCCTTTAAAATAACAGTGCAGTGAAAAATCAAATTTACCAATTTTCCGCTTATCCCAAATTAGATCAAGACATGCTAAGTAGTGGAAACGTACAGGGGGTGTACAAAATAACACAAACACCAAATGAAGTACTCACTCATTAGCAGTTTTATGAGGTACACCTACTATATAAATGTACATTGTACATTTACACTTGCTGACTACAGTGCGGCACAATTCTTATAGCTCCTGTCTGTCCTGTCCAGTGGAAATGGACCAGCATAGGACCATCGTTGACCAGTTATTATTTAGGTCATATTTATTATTTCAAAATGGTAGTGGCATGTTAATTTGTGTTGCTCTGGTGTAAATGGGGTTTTAAACACTATACACTTACAAGTGAGCTTATTAGACACTTCATTAGGCCAACCTTGGTGGTACATTTTGTAGCTGTACAGCTGTACTATCAACCCCACTGGTCCACCACCCAAATAATATCTGGCCAGTTGTGGTCCTATGTTGGTCTTTTCTATTGATAGATGGGGAAGAGGGTAGCTGAGAAATTGTGCATTATCTGTAAACCTACAGTCAGTGACTATAAATCTACAAAATACACTTATACGGTTGGTGTATCTGATCTTTCAATATTTTTATGCCCCCTGTATATCCCATCAAGTAGCACTGTGCAAAAGCCATGCCAAAAATGATCACACAACTGTCTCAGGTCATCTCAAATAGTTCTGCATTTCTGGTTTCTGACACTGTATGACACACAGTTAACTATAGACAAAAGAATGTATATGTAGCAGCAACCTTAAAGCCATGTTTGTCAGTAGATATCAGCCAAACTGTTCTTTTAAGTCCCCATTTCTCCTCTGTCTCTTCCAGTCGGATCCAGACCAGGGCCCTGAACCACACAGCCCGTCCCCGACTGACGATGTGTTTCTGGGCCCAGTGTCACCCCCACCAGGCCATGCTCCACCTCCTCCACCCTACCTGCCCCCTCAGCCATCTATAGAAGAGGCCCGGCAGCAGATGCACTCCCTGCTGGATGATGCTTTTGCCCTGGTGTCCCCCTCTTCACAGGGCAGCAACGCTGGCATCACTCTACCTGGAGTGGGGATCAGTGGTGGACCCGCTGCACCCTCTAGCCCCCCATCCCGTGGTCCGCGACCCTGGGGCCCTTCTTACCCCGCCCTCAGCCCATTCTCTGGGGTAAGAGCCGCTCAACAGTTCAGAGTGATAAAATGAAGATATTGTTCTTCAAAGATTCCTTTAAGGTTTTGGCACAGTCTCTGCCTGCTGTGCATTCAGATCAATAGTTTGATCAATCGTCCCTTTGCAGCAGACACCTTAATTTTATTTTGAGTACAGTTTTGTGTAGGTCCTAGTAATACCACTACATGGCAGATTGCATTTGTATTTGTAATGAGCTTGTTGTTGTTGTTGCTGCTTTTATATATATTGGGGGTAGAATTACATTTCACTATATTTTTATTAGATTTTTTGTGTATAATGTAATGATTTCATATGCCAATGCTTTTATGTAAATGAAATGGATAGTAAAGTATTCTATTCTACTCATTACCTCAGAAACAATTCTTCTGGCTTTCTAAATACAGTTGTATGCAAAAGTTTGGGCCAAACTGCACGTTTCATAGATTTTCTAAGTGAAAATCAGTGAGACATCCTCTGCAGAGAACACACTTTAATACATTAGAAAAAAAAATAAAATAGTCTCTACAAAAGTTGCAGCATGATTTATTTTTCCAATATGTAAAACTCAACAAATAAATAAAATTGTGCACTAATTGTGCAGAAAAATACCATATTTCAGTGTGTTCTCTGTAGAGGATGTGTTAACTTGTTTTCACGTAGGAAGTCAACAAAATGTGTAATTAACCAGGCATGTTAAAACTTTTGCATACGACTGTACATGTTGGTTTAGCCAGTAGGGTATTTTTTTGTACAGCCCTGTTGGGAACTTTTGTTATAGCATTAAAACTTTTCCCCCCAAAGACTGCTGCATGCTCCTATCACATGTTGCATCAGGCAGAAAGTCATGGCCTGTAGCTTTACACTGTACTAATCTGGTAAAGTCGTTTCCATCTGTTACTCTTAAATGCCCCTTAACTCTGATCATTGGAGCTTGCACTGGGATTGGATAGTTTAAGGAAAAAAAAGTAATTTTATGAACTTGGCAATCAGAGTATGTATCCTATATTTCTACAGCTGGCTAGCAAATTGCTGAAGAGGCACAATCCAGGCAGCAGCAGGGGAGGGTCCCATTTGAAAAAGATTATGAAAACCAGAAATCCTTGTCATTTCTGTCTGC